GGTATGCAGTGAGTGTGTTTGAGTTTTTCTCTGCAAACAGCTTCCTGCTGCTACTGCTGGAAACAATACTAATCAGAGCAACTTTACTAAACCCAACCAGTAAAGTTGTGAGTTGTAAAACTAAAATAATGTACTGAAACACACACAAAAAAAATCTCTCTGTGACATTGAGGGGAACTGCTGAGTTCTGGTGGTTTGTTATTCCTGACAATTCCTTGACATTATACATAGTTTGTTGACGTAAATCATCTTTAAGTGCAGCTTTAAGGTTTGTAGGTGTATACGTTTTTGTCCATTTGCTGTGTGTCTGCATCTGAATTAAAGACCATTTTAGCCAGGCTCAACAAAAAGTTGTCATTGCTGCAGATGTTGACATACAGTACTCTGGGTTTTCCTGTGCTGCGCTTCCTTTTAATATCCACTCCTTCTGAAATTCTTACCTCCCTGGCTTATCCAAATAAAAACCTTAGAACAGAACTGTAAGGTCGAAATGCCAGATTTTACTTGAAAAGTAACACCTATTACCGACTGTTTGTGACTATGTGCATGTGGCTACATCATTACTCTGAAAAACCTAACCCTAACACTCATCCTAGCTTAAACAGGTCACTGACAACCTTGTGGATGTTCACAGGTTTGCAAGTCCTGATGTTCCCAAATCCACCTGCTGAGGATAACCATTAAACTTAATATGTGGTATTTCATTTACAACCCTGTTAAGTTCAGCTGTTAATCTCCCATATTTGTCCAGAGTTGCAGTCACATTCTTTCAATCCTGGTTTATAAATAATCATGTGTGACACTCAGCGCAGCCTTTTGGCAGACGTCAGAGCAGAGAGTATGCAGCAGCGTGTCTCTCTTGTCATGTGACAGAGATATAAACAGAAGGCAGCGTCGGAGAGTGCACATGTCATTGACTGGTAACATTACTCCAGTGGCTTGGACTGTGGGTGTGTACCTCTAAATGCAATGTCATTTGCAGTTTTTTTATATCCTGTATCTTACAGGGGAATTAGCTCAAATGGTAGAGCGCTCGCTTAGCATGCGAGAGGTAGCGGGATCGATGCCCGCATTCTCCACAAACCTTTTTGGACTTCCGAAGCCTTCAGCTGGCACTTTTTAGGGTAAGAGAGGTAGAAGTGAAGACAGCATGAAACAGCGGTGTTGTTGTTGATCACATTACTAAATGAAAGGTAATCTATCTTTCTTGACAGTGTAGACAAGCTGCAGTCCCTTTGCTTAGTACTATATAACGTACAGTTGCTCTTCTTTCTCAGACAAATGGTAAGAAAACAATTAGGTATTAAAGAGTAACACCAGTACAGAATAATATCAGTAAACAGAATCTAACATCTATGTGCTAAAAAAACAAACCCCTTCAACATCACATCACATGCCCATTAAAACCTAAAGTGATACAATTAGAGCAACTTTCAAGTGTCTTGATACAGAATCAGTCTTGAACCACAGAAACAGCTGTAAACCTGCCAAAAAATACTACAGCTGAGTGGGAAGAAAAAGCAACATTGAGTCACAGAGCAAGTAGATGACGCCTTCACACCCATAATGACACAATAAATTCTGTAAAATTCCTGCAAAGGTGGATGAGCAACGCTTTAATTAATGTTTGCTGAAAGTGTCGGGATAGAGAAAGCATGTGGTTTTGATGATCTCATTAAACACACATGACTTTCTTTTTATGTTTTGATAATATAATCTAGATTTTTTTCTAATCTTTGTCTATATCTACGCTTTACGCATCATATGTCATTTTAGTAAACAAACTTCTTATTAAGAACTCACTGTAGGCTTGCACAAAGACACAAACATTCTGCACATACATACACATGTCCTGGGATTGTTGTTTGCTGCGTGGAGTGTAAAACACACACATACACGCATGGTTTCAGGACTCAGGAGCACTGTTTTGTGTGTCATATTCTGTTTACTGTTAAGCTGCAGAAGCAAAGTCATTCATCATGAAAGCAAAAATAACACACTGCTGTCACCTGAAGTGTAATGTGAGTTTGTGATGTGTATCTGTTTTCCTCCAGTGAATGCTTTAATTATGATCCAGTAGGAGCTCAGGACTCACAAATTATGTTAGGTTTTCCTTTTTGCACCTTTATAGCATACTGTGATTTGATAAGATGTATTTGAAGTAAATGGAACGACATTGTTTGTCTAATTGACTTAATGTTTTGACAGTTGTGGAAAGCAATCTTAAACATGCTCTCCTCAATATGGATTCAGTTAAATGATCATTTACCACACAGAGTTAAATAGATTGATTTAAAAATAAACTGATACTCTAACTGTTCGTACATTTTTCATTGACAATATCCGCTGTCGTTGATAATATGTAATTATCTCCACCACAGTGCAGATCATAATGAGGTGCACATATTCAGTGTGGGAATCAGAGTTGTTTCAGCTGGCAGCGTTTATTTGGGCTTGGCTTTAAGACCGATCATTTGCTTGCGAGGGCTTGCAGGATGCAGCATGTGTGCGTTTTCGTTTTTCATCTCTGTGTTGTTGGAAACCTTACAGGTCTACAAGACAAAGCAGACCTGGCAGTGACCTGTTTAGTGCTTTGGTGAAGTAGTAAGTAATACGTTTAGTGTCGTGTTTCTGCTCGCCCTCTGACGTCTCAAGTGTACATGCAAGCCAATGTTATGAATACTAACAAACTTGGCTGTAATTTGAGCATTAACGAAAGTGAATCTATTTTGCAGTTTTATACTAAATCACATAAAAAAAGTGCTTCATTACACTTAGTCCCTGGAGGTTTGGCATAGTGAGCGCACTAAAGGCAAGCCTGAGCACAAAAGCTGGCCATAAAAGGCACAGTCAGGCAAAAACAAGACATCTCTTCTCCAACCAACATCAAGTGGACTGCAATTTCTGAAGTGCAGCGTTTTCAAAAAGCTTACAGATTTGGATAAGTGTACTGGCATCACTGTGCTTTAGCTTAGCCTCAAAATTGGTCTCAAGGCCTTTCCTGAGATGGACTTCAGCAAATCATAAATATGAATTGCACTTTGCATGAGTCATCAGCAAATAAAGCAGAGTGCAGCGCACTTTTGTTTTGTTATTCTTCTGAATGCGTATCGGTTCAGTGTAGAGAAATGTTTTACGTTGCGCTCGCAAACTGCTCCGCTCAATTCCTCCTCTCCTTCAATTACTCTACCAGGAATTATGAACTCATGCGTCACTGTTGTTCATGCACCCACACAGAGGAGCTGACTTCAAACCCTCTCGAATACAATTTTCAAAAACACACACAAGGATAGTTTTTTTAAGCAGTTTTACAAGACACCGCACATGTGCACACTCATGCACACCGACTTTTGTACTGAAGGGGTGTTAGTTGTGAAATGTTGTGAGTCACAGTCTGTCAAGGCTACGGGGGAAGCGGCTTATACAAATCACTTACTCAACCACATGCTGCCATGAAGGAAATGGATATGACTGATGCTGAGGGGAGAGCAATAATTTAAACTGTTGATTAATCTCTGTGTATATGAGCCTGTTCCAGACAGTGTAAGGTGTGAGTGGGAGACCAGACAGTCTGCAGTGGTTTTCCGTTCAAAACTTGAGCAACTTAATAAGCTTACACTTATTAAAAAATAATGAAGACATTAAATTATCATCATCTAACGGTTTGGTTTCCATTGTATTGTCATTGGTGTACTAGCAGCCTGCAACTGTCTGTAACCTTGTAGGTTACTAGGTTTTTAGTATAGTTATAAGGTATTGATATTCTGTTCCATTTCATGTCAGAGATGCTAAATATTTTCCCTTTACCTCATCGTATTCAGTAGGATTTTACTTGATAGTCTTATGATGATCTGAAATACAATAATACATTTTCTCATTGGGGACCTCACACAACCAATGTTAGTTTTGCTTGTTATCCCTTCCAAAGAAGTGATTGCTGCTTTTTTTTTTGTCCAGACACCGCAAAGATTAGAGGGATTATGTTTTTGTTGTGTTGTATCACTTTAATCTCCTCCTGAACCATCAGATTTACTCTCATGGAGGTCCCGACCCTCGCGTTGCTAAACACTAAGTATCACTGTCCAACAGCATATAAAGTCATGAGAGTTGGAATTATGTGTCCTAGTTACAACAATGAAATCCCTGAATGGGAATCAAGTAAATAATTCAGCTCTCTGAAAGGGTCATTCTTTACAGTGAACGCACTTGACTCATGGTGCTTATGTACTTTAACTTCATTCAAATTATTCTGTGGCAGTATTATTACTTTTACATACTGTATAAGACTCACTATGAATACTTCTGTTGCTCACAGCTACCCCACAAATACTCCAATGTAGCCAACCTAGTTTTATAATGCAGACTGCAATGGTAATACTAAATGCAGAGCTCACTAAGTATTTCGGCTGCACCATTATCAAATAGCAATAAACTGAACCCAATTACCCAGCTGATTAACTGTTGGCTTATAAATAATATCCGGGATTAAAAGTCCACTGTTGGCAGGGCTCAAGGTGAACACTTCTCTGCCATATTAAAGAACATCATACTAATCTATTGTGCCCTCTGGTGGAGAGTTTGTCTCCCTTGAATCAGCACATATAGATTGAAAAATTCATTTTCAGTGGAAGCACTCTGAAACATGCATACACATGCACACATGCGACTTTTAATTTATGTTTGCTCATTCATCCTAACCTGAACACCTTCAAACCATGAACTGAGTCTGAAAATTAGCTTCGCTTAGTTCTCCTTTTTACATGCTGTGAGTATATAAAGAACAATACCACTTCTAAGTAAGGCTGATGTACTATGTCTGTGTGCTTTTGGATCCATATATATTTAGATTTTTAGGTGTTGCATGGGGATATCTCCTGTTAATTTTAACTCAGAATACAGTGACAAAATCCCATTAATTAGTGCTCATCCTGTTTTTATTTCATTTAAAAATAATATCACTCTGAAAAGCTTTTTTGTGTATCTTCCTGTTTCCCCTCCAGAATGTGAAGATGCCACATTCTTTCAACTCCCTCCCTACGGAAACTTTCATCTCGAAAACCTTCCCTTTGGACTTGTTCTCCACCAGCATACACCCTACAGACCCGTACACAACAGACAGCTTCTTCTCCAGTAACAGCAGCAACAGTAGCAGCGTCGGTCCTCTTCCCTGCACCTACAAGGAGGACTTTAAGCGGATTTTACTCCCTGCCGTGTACACCATTGTCTTCCTGCTCGGCCTTCCTCTCAACGCTGCTGTCATACTAAAGATATGGGGGACGAGGCCCAATCTGTCCAAAAACAACATCTACATGCTCAACCTGGCCATAGCTGACTTTCTGTATGTGATGTCTCTTCCGTTGCTCATCTACAACTATGGCAGTCATGACTACTGGCCCTTTGGGGAGTTTGCCTGTAAACTGGTCCGGTTTCAGTTCTACAGGTAGGTTCTTCACTGACTATTGATTAATTAGATCTATTTGTAGCTGTACAGTATTGCAAGTTAGAATGAGGATATTTAGTCTTTGTTAATGTCTCAGTATGCTTCAAACAAGCAATGCCAACAGCAAACCAAAAGTGTTCATTCCTGAAAAGCCCAAAGTTTAAAGGTGGGGTGAAAAGAACAAAGAGGTGAGATGGGTTAAGTAGCACAAGTGAAGAAATTGGCTCCAACAATTTTTCTTGAAGCTTCCTGGAAGACTTGTTGTTGTGTTACATTCAACAGAAGCAGCAGAAGATTGTGTGTAAATAAAGTTCCCAAAAATGTTGAACGCAGTCCGCCTTATTTGGCCATGAGAAAGATGTAGGAGAGGCAGTTTCAGCCTCTGTCGGATGATCTGACATCAAATTTGAAGCAAACTAACAACCTAAGCGGTGTGATTTTCTTATATATTGATCTTAGAGCTTTCAGATGATCAAATATTTAAAATTTTTTGTTTCCTTCATTGTAAGTTACCTCCAAATATACTGGTTTCTGCTCATGTTGTAGTATTATTTCGGTGCCATTCACAGCTCTTGACAATCATTGTTTTTCAAGAGTAAGTGTGTTAATTACAGCAGAGATGAGTTCATATTCTAATACACAAATGTGATCAATACAGTACACAACAGAACAAAGGAACGTGGCAGGACAATATTTAACAGTAATTTCTCTCTTGTTTTCCCATTTCAGTAATCTGCACGGCAGCATCCTGTTCCTCACCTGCATCAGTGTGCAGCGCTATGTGGGCATTTGCCATCCATTCGCGGTGTGGCACAAGCAGGGTGGTCGCAGGATGGTGTGGTGCATCTGTGGAGGCGTGTGGCTGGTGGTCGCCATCCTGTGTGCGCCGACTTTTCACTTCGCTGCAACAGGAATCCAGCGGAACCGCACAGTGTGCTATGATTTAAGTACACCAGACAGTTCCATTGACTACTATCCTTACGGCATGGCTCTGACATTTCTTGGCTTCTTGTTGCCTTTTATGGGCGTGATGGTGTGTTACTGCCGGATGGCCCACATCCTCTGCCAGCCAGTGTCCTACCAGGGCGTCTCCATGGCGACTGGGGAGAAACGAGACAAAGCTGTGAGGATGATCATTGTTGTCGCGGTGGTGTTCTGCATCAGCTTCCTACCATTTCATCTCACCAAGACCATGTACCTGGTGGTGCGCACCAGTGCCCGGTGTGAGACTAAAAACTTGTTTTCAGTCATCTATAAGAGCACCAGGCCGTTTGCCAGCATGAACAGCTTTCTGGACCCTATTCTGTTTTACTTTACTCAGCCACGCTACCGCAGGAGCACCAAGAAGTTTATGCTCAGAGTCACCAGCATCAGAGACAAGGGTACCAGCGTGTGAGCCAGCAGTAGATCATTTACTGCTCATTTACTGTTCTTAAAGCCTTGTTGCTACACCAGCGGTGTAACCTCTCGTGATGTACCGGTTTATGAGATTTTTAACATATGCCCTCATGACGATTCTGTTGTTGATGCTGTGGTCCTTTAAAGGCTTTACCAATTACTCACTGTACCAGCTGGAAAAAGGCTCTGAGAACATTGTCATATTAAGAATCTCTGAATGTAACCGAAAGGTTAAAATCCTGTATCATAAGTAGTAAACTTCAAAGGCCTCCTGTTTGCATCGTCTTCAATTGTCATGTGGGTGTGTTTTATTGTGGGAATTCAGGTATTTTAGACACCTCTCCTTAAGATTCCTGAATCCCTGCTGACTTTATGTCATCATTACTGTGGCTGAGGATTACTGTAAATTCTGTTCATCCTGTCAGCAGACCAGACTTTTAACATCCAGCATTGTACCTGTGAAATGTTTACTTTCAGTCTCCACTGTGCACTGGGCTAAAAAAAAAAAAGAGCGAGATATGCTCTTTTTTTTACTGAACCTATGTGAACCCCCCCTTTTTTTGTAAATTAGCTTTTTTCTCTATTTTTGTTTCACACTATGAAGTGTACAGTAAAACAGAAATACTCTATGATTGTATTATTTTATTATACATATATGATTAGCTGATTCTAGATATGTGTGACATGAAGTGGAGATGTACAGTAAAAGGTGAAAAAGAGAAAGACAGAACAGTATAATTGTTTGGATAAAATCTGCAGGCACTAGGCCACAAAAAATGCTCGAAGCGTTTTATATGTTGCAATGTTTTTGATCGCATATTAGAGCTGCATGAAGTAATTGTGTGTGAAGATTAACTGGTGACGGAGGTGAAACGTGTTTTATAAACACAGTTGCAAAAACATGACAGTTGCAGAAACACTGAGAGACAGCATGAAAAATGTATGAGCATTTTATATCAGTGGAGTATTCTGTTTTTTAATATGAAGGTCTCTGTTTTGTTTTTGTTTTTGAACTCAACATGTTTTAGCATTACCCACACTGAAAGCGTTGTTGTTGCTTGTTTGTACCACTGGATGGAGTGTGCATCCTACTGCTGTAACTCTACTGCACTTAAAGGCTGCCTTTGTAAAAATGGCATGGCTATGATTATCATAAATATTGTTGTTGACTACTGATTAAATCTACAGTCAAAGATAAATCAGTACTAAAAAAACTGTTCAATATCCAGTGCCCAGCACGCTAAAACCAGGATTTTTCTCCACATGTTGTTAAAATTATCCAGTAAGCAAAGGCAATATATGTAAATGTTTTGCCAACATTAATGTATTAAAAAAATAATAATAATAATAATCCTGCATTAGATTGCTGAGTAGGGGATGAAAGTGCAGTTGATTACTTTAGGGCAGAGTTTCTATTAAGTCCCCGTTCTCTTGTTCTGACATTACCAAGAGTGTTCCAAGAAATGGATGGAAGTCTGGTGTCATAGAAATGACAGAAAAAGAATAAATAATTGGGGATAGAATGTATTAAAGGAAGCTTTCTACTCGTGAAGATGCACTCAGAGTACATATAAACTGTTTTGTACTTTTTGATTCAATGCAGTCGAAATTTGTACAGTCTATACAATGGAGGAAATTTGTGATTTTATTTGACTGTTTCTTACGGAGTTCTGATTTTATGATTTAGTAATTTATAATGTTCATAAAATGAACATAAATGCAGATTGGATTTTAAATGGGCATTTAACTTTATAGTAGTGTTGTTTGCTGTCATTGATTTTTTTTTATGTTTTACGGACATGCTTTAAACAGCAAACAGTGGAATTTATTTTCTCCTTTTTTCCTCATATGTGGAGGTCCTTATAATTTTTTTTTTTTTTACAAGTTTGCTTGAGTTTTCTGTCTTTTTAGTGTAGGAACTGTGAATCTGTGCCTCATGGTGAACTCTTGATTGTAGACTATGCACTTAAAACCTTATCATTCAATCGAGGCCAACTGTGCTAACTAAAGTAATTCAGTGTCATTAAATCCAACACTTCTAATTTAGCCTTAAGCTCAGGATGCCATTTGAGCCTCTGATTTGAAAATGTCGTGCCAAAATTGAACTAAAATGAGTAAATTAAAAGTAATTCTGACTTCTTTCCAACACATTTTAGATTACTCTGAGGCCTCTGTAGCAGAGATTTACTACCTAAACACGCTAGTTTTAGTTTTGCATGCATGAGGTAGTTGTATATATCAATTCAATGTGAACATGTAATTTCCATGCATTTTAATTGCAAGGAATATTTTGACCACAGTAGGAGGTCATATGCTTAAAAATGCCCAGATCTTCTTAATGTATATGTGCATCTGTGCAAAGTGACTATCCGGTAGTGTAACAATACACTGTATGTTGTGCTCCTGGCCTCGGCAGAAAACAGAAAAAGCTGCAGCGTCTTGTTGTTCATGTGTCTGTTTGGGAAAATGCTTGTGATTTATTTTTCCACAACTGTCTGAAATATATGTGTGTATGTGTGTGTGTGTGTGTGTGTGGTCAGTCTGGGGAGCTCCAGATGTCTGTGCACTGTGCCAACATATTTGTGTCAGTCAGTATTATTTAGACAAATTCTTATTTTTGTAAAGTGCTGTAACACAGATTAATATCTATAATAACATTTTATATATTTTTTTATTTACATAGATTAAATTGTGTTGTTTCTGTTAGTTTTATGTGAAAGTGTTTTGACTGCTGTAATAATGTAAAACTAACCAAAAATGAACATTAAACAAAGCCCTGCAAACAACAAAACTTTTTGATATAGATTAATGTTGACTGAGGAGATTGTGTTGCTTCCTTTTTCTCGACTCACAACTTTTCCTGGACTGCAGCCTGCCACTTTTGTTTCATATTGTACAGTCAACACAGATTGGGCAAAAATCATATCCCAGTAACTTAATCTGGGTTTTTGAAGCAGCTAATAATTTCAAAATACATACTTTGAACAGTGAGGTTGATTGGCAGTAGTGTCACATACAAGTTCATTAAAAAAAAATCGCACCAAAACCAGCTATTTCAGATGGTGATTCTCCACATGTGACCTGTCATTCAGCAGGTCAGCCTGCGGAGGGCGCTGCAGCCAGCATCTACCTCTCTTCTGAGCAAGAAAGAAACGCAGAATTCCCCCCTTTTGGAAACAAAAGGACCTGTTAACCAGACAGCCACATGGGAAGCACCACAGAGGGGTTATTGTGCATGAGTGCAAACTTTTATCTTTGCCCCCAACCCCTCCAACCTCCTCCCGAATGCTGACACACTAATTCACCAACACCATCATAACACACTGTGCTGCAGCTTCTGCTGAATGTGCATCTGCCAAGGTCTCTGGGCTTCCTTTGTGGGCATTTAAAAGACAGAAACACTGCAGCCTTCATGATGCATCTTGGAAATCAAGAGATGTTTTATGATGCCTTTACACGATTCAAAGCTGCAGGTCCCAATATGTAGTATTTTTTTTGCGTAAACCTCTTAACAGTGAGGCTGCGTTTTTTCGCAAGGGAAAGAGCTATAATTACATCTACTTAGTCCTCAGTATCTCTCTTCTGCTATCAAAAAAGAAAAAGCTTTTCCTCTCAATCCCCGAGGGGGCTATGACAGCCCCTATACCCCTAGTCCCGCCCACCCCCTCTGCCCTATCTCAGGCATTAACATGCAAAAAAAACAACATAAGTCACGGAAAAACCATATCATGCCAAAATAAGGAATCCACAAACAGTTTTGGGGGGAATTAACAGTTGAGTGATGCGCTTGGGCCCCGTGCAGGCGTGCAAAACCTGGCGATGGGCTGAGGTTTACAAACAGTAGGGGGATAACAATGGAGAAGTTGTGTTTGTGAGGAGTTTTGGGGAAAGTTTTGGGGCCAAAAAAAAACTTTCCCTTCCTTGCACGGATGCGGTTTCGGGAATCGACAACATGTAAGTTTTATTAAGAAGCTCACCTACTCAGCTTAACACCCACCTAACAACAGAGCAGTTTGAAGCTTTGCCAAGAATTAAGTTTTTTTTTTTTTTTTTTTTTAAAGACTGATTGCTTGTTGGATTTCTCGCCGTTTTTGGCTGCGGTGTGGAAATGGACCACAACTCAAAAAGCTGCCTGGATGTTTAATATCCGTGGAGTTAAAATGTGTGCGTGAACTGTAACAAAGAAAGACATGAACAATGGCAGAAAGAGAGAGGAAGAATGCGGCTGTGTATCGCAGCGTCTCTTTCAAAAAGTTGGGGTCCTGGGGCGCCAACAGGAGCGAAGACCAGCAACACAAATCAGAGGATTTGGAGGCAGTTGGCGTCGCCCTTCCCCCGGAGCCCAGCAAAGCAGAACAGCCCTTGGCGACGCGTAATGTCAGTGTGTCAAGAAAAGTTTCCAAAATCTCTGCCACCACCGCCGGCCTCCCAACCGCAGACCCAAAGAGAGGCTCCTCCGCTCTCCTCTCCTCTATTTCTCCATCCATCCGCCAGCTAACTGAGAAGTTCAGCAGCAGCGGCTCCGCCAGGACGCACGGAGCCTCACCGGGAGACTGTGCGGCGGTGACGCGGGGGAGCAGCACTCTTCCCCGGGCACGGAGCTCCAGGAGAGACGGCTCTCCGACTTGTAAAGTTTTTCACGAGGACAACTGCGGTGGATATTTCCAGGATAGCGATACTACAACCGCAGAGCCGGTTTTAGAGAATAAAGTGCAGAAGTTTCACTCTGGCACCGACTCTGTGTCAGGCTCTGACTCAGAGAGGAGAAGTGAGAGGAGGATTTTTACAAGTTTATCGACCGACAGCAGCAGCAGCTCTGGTAAGAGAGATTATTCACAGATCTATGCACGTCCCTCTGATCTCAGAAAGACTTTGACCACAGATGAAGAAGAGGATGTTAGCAGTAGAGTGCTTCCTCCACCCTGTAAGTCTCACAGAACTTATTTGTCCACACACCACAGTGACTTTATTCCCCTGCACTCTGACAAGTGGCCCAGTGTTACCAAAATTAGGCAACTTTTTGATGAGAAACAAAACAAAGCTACTGACGCTTATGAGCATTTAAAAGCAGCTGACAGAGGCCATCTACATGAGCACGGCCTCAGTGACAGTGCTCTTCTCTCTGACAAAAGTGGCAAACTGTCCCCTTGCAGCGCTGCTAATGAAGCTGGGATCCTGTCTTTGCATGACAAATGCATAGTTGGAGCACAAAGCAGAGACACTAAAGAGACTTTTTGTTATGGTATGGACTTTAATTCCAAAGCTGACCACCATCAATACTCAAACGATGAGGAGGCAGGAATAGAGACACCCAGTGAAAGTAACAAAGTGTCTGGCAGAAATACTTTTGGAAGCAGCAGCAGTAGCAGTCGTAGTCACACTGGGGGTAGCCACTACCGTAGGATTATCTCATCTCCATACAGATCTCATAGTCCCAGCACTGGAGCAGAGGCAACCCGTAAGACCCCCAGGACGACAGGACTGACATCTGACCCCAACCCTGACCTTCAACCCCCTGCTACTTCGTCTTGGAGTCAATCGGTGATCTTAGACACCTCCTCCTGCTCCTCCTCTCTTGAGCAGTCGACAGTGAGGGAGAGAAGGGATAGACAGGGGGTCGGGCTGCCCAGGGATAGTTTACATTCCTCACATAGCTCCTCTAGAGCACCAGCCCCCACCTCTTCCTCCCCCTCCTTTGCTCCAGCTCCAGATAAAGCCATTACCTCCTCCTCTACTGTAGCTCCCTCCGCTGAGCTCAGAGCCCCAGCAAGAGTTGTTTCTCCCCTCAGCTCCCGCTGGAGGTTTAGCTCTGGAGACGAAGAGGAGGAGCACACTAGGAGAAGAAGAGGAGGCAGTTGGAGTGTTCCCTCTGGCCCCTCTGCTTCCACCTCCAGCGGAGGAGGAGAGAGGGGTGCCACAGAGCGAGGAGGCAGCTATTTATCCCGCAGTAAAAATGGCTGGTGGGGTGCTAAGGGCATTGGCAGGTCCTCTGGCAGTGAGGAGGACAGTCCTGGTTCTTTAGGCCCCCACTGCCGAGAGGCAGTGCGCCGCCGCTCGCTAAGAAAGAAGAAGAAGGTCAGTGGGGCTGCTGCAGCAACAGGCCGTGATGATTACAATGATCATGATGGCGAATCAGAAGACAGTGACAGTGACACGGCCTTGACAATGGAGCACTTAGAGAGACACCGCCAGCAAAACACAGGAGGAGAATTTGCAGGGACTGTATCTCGGAGCCACTCGGCAAGAGAATCCAGTGGTCATAGTAACAGAGCCAGGGTGCAGCAATGGGAGCGCATCTCCTCACCCGTGACCTCCACGACACTTCCTGGTGTGTCACGAGTGTCAAAGGTCAACATACCCCCATTTGTTTCCAGTCCTGGCGATTCTCGTTGCAGCAGTCGGTACTCGAGCACTGAGACACTGAAAGAAGAGGACCAGGCTGCCTCTGCCAACCGTACAGCAAATGTGTTTTTTAATGTGGGTGGAGCAGGAGGTAGCACTGGCAGAGCCGCGTCCTCATCCATGCTGAGTAAAACCTATCATGGGAATTTCACCATGTACCGCTCCCCAAGCTTTGGCCATGGGGATAACTTCTCCCGTAACCCTGTGCGTGTGCGCCCCAAGATTGTGCCAACAGTAACCCCCTTGCCTAGTGTACTTTCGAGAGAAGGTGGGGTATCTTCAGGGGTTAGAGGCGGTGAAGCCATGGTAGGAAGGAAAACAACAGGAGGGGGCAGGGTCAATGATAAGGACAAAAGCCCAATATCCATGTCCAACCCTGATATCACCTCAGAAACCATGACACTCTTAAGCTTTCTGAAATCTGACCTGTCAGAGCTTAAGGTGCGGAAAACAAGCGGAGGGGACAGGTCTGGGGCTGTGGAGGGGTCATCAGTGTACAGGACGGGCTCAGGGACTCACGGCGGGACCCTTCTACCTTCTGGCCGCCGCCCTTCATTAAAAGACCTGACTGCCACTCTGCGGCGTGCAAAATCCTTCACTTATTCAGATAAACCAACAACAACCGTGAGGTGCTACTTGACAGGTGGCACCACAAAGAGGAGCTCCTCTGAGCAGCAGCTTGATGTGGATCAAGACAGGAGTGGAGGGAGAGTGGTGTTATCAGACAGGGAAGTAGAAAGTGATGGGGGGGATTTTAGGGTTGGGAGAGGACAGAGAATAAGGGATTATGGATTTGATGATGATGAAGTGATGCCAACTCCACTGCAGGAGAGGTATGTGCAGGAAGCCAGGCAGGTCATTCGAGACATCTGCCAGATGAGCACGAGGGAAGACGATGATGATGTAGATGTAGGAAGAACTGATGATAATTTTGGGACTGAGTGTTTACAGGTTAAGAAAACAAATGAAGAGAAGGAGAAAGCTGGAGGGTGCATTAAGGATGAGGCTCGGGCGGATCAAGAGGCTGAGTTTGAGAACACAAAAGACACGGATAAACATAAGAGGGAGAGAGAGAACAGGGAGAGGGAGAGGAGTGAGAGGGATGGACAAAGTATACAGTCGGAGAAGCTTAGCAGCAGGGGCACAGAGTACTGGGAGAAGTCAAAGAGACAAAGCCGAGAGCTGGAGAGAGCCTTACTGAAGGGGGACTCAGAAGAAAGTATGTTCTACGACCGCTCTGTGGATGAACTTTCAGGCCACGAGTCAAGTTTAACGGATGAAGGGATCGTGACAGAGCCAGAGACAGGCCCCAGTGACCTCTCCGAAAGGTTGTTCATGGGCTCAGCAGGGGTTAATTTAGGGTCAAGAATAGTTAGGGATGTCCTCGGGCAGCCTGTCACTGTATGGAAGCAGTCGGCTCTCCATGAGGTGGAAGGGTTCAAGCAGGAGGGAGAAAAGATGACAGAGAACAGCTTGAGTTGTACAAATCGTCTGAATGAAGTCAGTGTACCTCGCTCCTTGCCTCTTCCTGCTCGCATGGCTGAGAGTGACAGTCTTATCATGGAGCTGAGCGCTACCACTGGTATCAACAACAATAACACTGCCAGTGAGGGGATCCACACCAACAGTGCCGTGTCACAGGGGTCAGCAGCTACCACAGGAGGAGGAGGAGGAGGAGGGGGAGGATTTGAAGCCCCTGCAACCCCAAGTGCTCTTCGTCGAAGGCGCAAGTTCTCCCCTTCTGGTAACAATAACACAGGCTCTGATTCCAGTAATGGCAGTCATGTGGAGTCAACAATGGCAGCTGTAGGAAATGGGGAGTCCACAGTCTACCGCTCTCTCAGTGACCCCATGCCTCAGCGACGCTGTTCCGTCACAGAGGAGGGGAACAATTTTTCTTCTGTAGACAGCAACCTGTTAGGATCCCTGTCTGTCAAAGGAGGGGGGGGAGGTGCTCCTGAGGCCTCGACTGGAGCCACATCGTCAGAAGACAAGGGCAGCATAGCCAGTGACTTGTCAATTTGCAGTGATGGTGGCCTCCGTGATGATGCTATCCGTGACTACAGTGGGGTGATCAGGAACATCGTAGCTGAGCCAGGTGCAATGGACAGATTGATGACAGATGACCACGGCAACGGCAAAGCCCCCAAGAAGAAGTCCTTCAGTGACCCCAGTCGCCGTAGCGATGCCCCTTTACTTTCCCAGAATGACCCTAAGCTCAAAGGTCAGACTGGCAGCACCCAACCAATCAGTGAGCTCGATCAACCTGGACAGATTCCACCTTCCAGCAGCGAGCCAATCCTGAGCGAGCAGAGAGAGGAACTGTGGGAGCCGGAGACTAAGCCTCCACACACACTGCCGCCACAGCTGCACCAACATCCAAACAGCAGCAATAAAGTCAAGATGGCTCGCTCCCAGTCAGACTGCACCCCTCCCTCTGATAACCACGATGATGAAGATGATGATGTAATAGACCAAGGTGAGGAGGAGGAGGTGCAGAAGTTTAACTTTGACCTCAAGCTGGCCGAGGTTCTATCTCCTAGAATGATTCGACGGCCCACCAGAAAACGTCCAAACAGGTTGGCGTTTTTCCCCCATGAGGACCCATTTGAGCCCCCAGAGCTGGGATTAGAGGGGCAGGAGGATAACAGCAACCAAACAAAGCTCAGTTGTCCTCTTCCGCCTCCACGTCTGCAATCTAAAGCCAAAACCATACCCAAGCATATTCGCCATGCCAGCGAACCCGCCACCTTCATCCCCATCTCCCCACCTCCACAGCTCCAGCCCCTGAAGGAAGCAGACTGCAGATCCGCAGCAGAACCTCCAAACTTAACTAGACCTCCAGGAGACGAGGCTCCATCTTTGGAGGATGTGACACAGAAGTATATTCTTGAACTGAGCTCCTCTGAGAGAGACGCTGAGGGCTCGGGGCCTCTTCCAGTTGCCAAGGATGGAGCTCAAGGTTCAGAGGGGCCCGGCGAGACCACCACCAGTGGAGTTACAGAAGCTGGACCTCAGAAGAAAGGCACAGAGGACACTGCTTCCGTACCTGCTCCACAGAGGACCAAGCCCAGAGTGGTGAGTTCAGATTTAACTTCTTTCTCTTGTTGCATGACATCTTTGAACTTCAGATGGTTGTCTGCTGCACAAAACTCATGTCTTTGTCAGCTACTACAGAAAACTATTACAATACAAGCACCACACCCAGTGCTACACACAATTGGAAGTCATATGTTGTGAAGAAAGAGGAGACTTGTTTTCTCAAATATGTTGCTTGTGATGAAGCTGGATTTTTAGTATAATATTGAACAAGAGTTGTAATATCATTTGTTTTAAAAGAGTGCGTCAAGTAGGGCTATGCAGTTTGTTTATGTTTTTACAGTTGCACAGATTGCATGCGTGTGTCAGTGATCTTGTGAGATGCCGTGGATCGGGATTCATATGGTTAGTTTCAGAGCCCATGCGCAAGCAGAGCCACAATACAGCAGCCATTAAAGGCTGAGCAGTGTTAAACAAACATCAGAGGATGTTATTAGTTTGATTAAACAAATCACAGACAAAGGGCATTAAGGAGTGGACCAAGGCCTGCTCTGTATGTGTGTGTGTGTGTGTGTGTGTTTTCATTTATTTGTTTCATCCAGTATTGATTGTCTCTGTGCCAAAATTACAGACTTGTATAGAGGGGATACAATAAACAGTCACCCAGACGTAGACAGGGTGTGTTTGGATGTGTGAATTGATGCCAAATTTACTCACTAGTGTTTAAACACTGAGAGATTGTTTCTCTGTCCTGTGATATCGTTGTAACAGAAAGGTTAACTGACAGGGCCTTGACAATGTCATGATAACTGTCCAGAACATCGCACAGGAGGCTGTAACTAAATGCATGTTTTCCGATAACCACTGTCTGAACAAAGCTTTATAGTGTAAAAGCTGTATTTGGATTTATAGGAATTCCATTTAGCTCTCTGGTTTGGTGATAGCAGTCTAATTTTCTGAATTTTTATTGACTTGAAATCACACTTTGATCCTTTAAACTGGTAGTCTCATTTTGTGCAAAAGTGCAAAAATACGGTTTGCTCCTTTAGCGTTGTGCATCAGACATTTAAATCTTTCTGCAACTCAACTGCTGTTTCCTTAAAATAGAATTACGGCATAAAGAAAAGGACAGAACGGTTTACCTGTAATGACAAAATCATGTTTTTCATTTTATACTTTGGGGGAAGCAGGTCCTTAGGTTGGAAAAGTGAAGTTGTTGCAAAACGAGGAATCAAATGGTTTAGGTAATGTAACTTAGACCAGTGAGAATATTGTTAACGATTAACTTAATTTGGATAAAATAAACTAAATTGTTTGCTACTAATTAAAGCAATTTATTTGAGTTGAGCCAGCAATTCCCTTTTTTCACTGTCTAAACGTACAGAATATCAGAAGTCCAACTTTATTTTGTAAAGTTAACAATAGTTACTCATGAATCGCTGTCACAGTATACCCAGTCCTCCTTTCTGTGAACCGTGTCACTCATTGCCATACACTGCTACTCTAATAACACCCTCTTGTCCACACGCGCACTGTTTGTCCTGGAGGTCTGTGGCTGAAGTTTTTATACAGTCATGGATGTGACTCTGTGGCACGGAGAAAGTAGAAACAATGCAGGGATTAACATCCCATCCGAGCTCATGACTGAAGGCTGCAGACACAACATCCAGGGTTTTGGTTTCATTACATCATGACCACTTTTCTGTTGCAGCGACTAATCAGCAGCCCTGCGCTCACTGTGTTCTGGTAGGAAGGCCAAAGGGTTCCTGTGGTTACTGGTGATTTGTCACAGTGTATGTTTCAGTAATCTGAACCTTATTGTTTGCATTCGCTGAAAACAAACAACTTGTTTTCGCTCCTCGACTTTGAATTCTCTCACAAAGCTACTTGCTGCTCTCTAATTTATTTACATCTATTACTCTGCTCCTCATTAGCTGCTGACCGTCGTATTCACTCCCTATTGTCCATCTGTTGCCGTAGTGACGAGCGGTAGCTGGCCAGTGACCTCACCAAGTAGGAAATGGGTTTAGGGAAATGGGAAGTTGTTGTGGTAACTGAAGGGTTTGATGACATCCAGCGCTACCGGCTGGCGTGTGTGTGCGTTGTTTTGTTGCACATTTGTGACCTGCTTGCAAGTGTGTGTGTGCATTATAAACTGGTTTCCTCCTTCTTTGTATGTGTGTGAGCCTGTGCATGTTGTTTGCCTGGCATATATCAGCGCTTTGTTCAAACGTTTGGAGGCCAGACTTTTGCCAGCACACTGCGTTTAGAGCAGTGCCCTGCAGCTCTGCTGCTTTGTGACTGCCTGTGTGATTTGGACTGAATGTAATAAGGGCTGTGCCAAGCTGAAATGGATCTCAGACAAGTTCTGAAAGTAAGGAAGGGATAAAGAAAGGAAGAAAGACAGTGTGAGAGAGGAGGAGAAGGAGCTTTTTTTTCCTTTTCTGGAGACATGGAGTACGGCTCATTTCACCCACAGTGCAGTTTTTTTCACTACCAAAATCTCCAATTAATTTCACCTTAGTTTCAGTTTTCTTCTCAGTTTCTTCCATCCATTCCTCTTCTTATCTCTTTTCCTCGTCCAGATGCCTTGCAAGTCATAGTCTGCTGTTTGCATGTCTGAAACCGTATATCACTTTGTCAGATTTTCACTACACACTTTGATCCCCTCACCATTTGTCGTTTTTATACTAATTCTCCGACATTCCTCCCCATGTTATCTTATTCTTCTCTTTGCTGTCTCCCAATGTGTCTCTGGAACATTGCAGTGAAGTGAGGTCATAACGTTTGTCTTGGTGTAAGGCAGGCAGCCGAGCCAAATGTCAGGTAGAGAGAGGGAAAGAAAGAAAGGAGCGGGTTGGAAGGAAACTTGCAGGCTTAAAAAAAAAGTTACAGGATCAAAATAGAACTGAGAGAGAGCTGAAGAATGAAACAGGAATGGAGGGAGGGAGGGAGGGAATAAGCAGTAATGGAAGCAGATGGTAAAGGCTGGTCTATAGTTGGACCAGAGAAGGGTCAAAAGTACAGAAACATTTAAAAAACATATAGGCCAGTGTTATCATTACCTCTCATTCACTGGAGCATAATGTGTAGCTTTTGCAGTGTATGTAATATATATAGATGGTTCCTCAAATTGGGTCAGATTGGGGTACAAAGTGTTTTATGTTCATTTAGATGTTAAAACTTTGTTGTAGGATTTTTTTTAATGACAATTTTGCAGAATATATTAATTAAATCTAGTACGTGTAGAGACAGCTATTGATTATATGGCATTTTTAGCACCCACATGTGAACATAACAGGAGTACTAGCTCTAATTATCTTTTTCGTTTTGTCAAGTAGTCCATTAAATGTGTGAAACAGGTACCCACAGTTTTCTCAGTCGGTGCAAAATGACCTCTTCTCAGGGAACAGAACAGCTCTTCCTTTACAGCAGCAGAACAGAAAGGCTCTGGCAAATAGTATTACCTGGAAACAACAGAGTCTGTCGGTTGTTGAAAGAGTCAAATAAGGTACACATTGTTTTCTTCCTCCGTGTGATGGATGATTCCTCTTGAATTAGTGTGTGTTTCCCTCAGCGTTCAAGTAGCTTGCACTTTAGCAGGCAGTAGGAATGTGAGCCATCTTCCCTTCTCCTCGTGTTGCATAACAGACTTGAAACTTCCCAAAAGAGCTGAAGAGTCATGCATTAGTGGCCTCTGTGTTAATATGGCATCATTTAGTTTGCAGTGCTTTGCATTGTACTTGCCGGGACATTATAAAAAAATAGTTGTCTAAAGAATCAGGTCAGCCATTAAATGCTAGTATTTGGCTCCTGTAATCAGAGAAATTTCAGGAAAAGGACAGCCCTGTGTCACATGAAGTCATTTTTTCAAAACTCTATTGTCCATTCTTCTCCTATCGATGATGCAGGTTTATAGAGGGTTAATGGAAGAAAGAGTGAGGAGAGGATATAGTCAGAGAGAAGAAAAGAGGCAGAAAGATCGGCCTGTGCTCTGCTCTTCATGGATTAGGTCTAAAAGCACAGTGTTTATAACTTCAGATTTATGACTGACTTTGTTTTATCAGGCCACCCACGTGGAATCAAATACTTTCCCTCTGTCTGATCTTTTACTCGGACTTCCCTGTTTCAATCCCTGCTACTCCTTCCCAGATGTAGCCATGGTGCAGAGGAAAAGGTAAAGAGGTCGAGGTGTAGATTAACTCACAGATTTCGGTTGATAAGTGTTAGACTTCACAAGTAAGACAGCCACAATGAGGTCAGCTTTTATTTTTGCCTCGAAAGGTTAATTGGGAAGGTTATTAAAAACACATTATAGGGGATGCAATGTAGCTCTATGATGCAATCAGAAAAACACAACTGTGAAATAACCTTTTATATTGTGATCAATGGAGAGGAAGGAGCTTATCCAATAAGCAACTTTCTTTTGAAAGCAGACTTAAAAGTAAAGTGAAAGGACAGATTACATAAACGCAGAGAGGATACCGTGTGGGCGCAAGGTTGGTTTTTTAACATGTGAAGGTCAACAGAGGTTTAGTGAGGTCCAACAAAGTGAGGGATGCTGAGAGAGCTAAAAGGGTAATGAAGAGATGAAAGGATGAGGATACAGTTTGTTCTTGCTGAGTGTCCTAAAGACTCAGCAGATGAGAAGCAAGAGGTGGGATGAATCAGAAGATCAAAAGGCCGCACTCCAGATAACTGTGGCGTCAATGACACACAGGCAGCCTGTGATGGGAGACGTTTGACTTATGTGGGTGGAGGTTGAAACTCTACCTAAAAGGATGGCTCACTGTGGTGGGAGACAAGTGTGATGCGTCTGTGTAGGAAATATAATGGCGTATAATAAGTGTAAATTTTAGTCACTGGGGAGATCCATATTTTATGTAAATGGATCCATCATCTTTGGTTTGG